TTATCTTTTCTCTAAAATCAATCAGTGAAGATAATTTCTTCTTAATAAATATGATGAGAAATGTTTCGTAAGAATTAATTTCAGAAGAGTTCCGAGGATCCCAGCGGCATCAAGATGATAACCGAGGAACTACCCGAGATGGACTTGGCTACCTTAGTGGCTTATCGTTAGGTATAGTCCCGGTCTGGCAAACTAGGGTCACGGTAAAAAGGTGTGGGAGTGAGAGATACTCCCTCCCAAGACTCTAGTTACAGATGATAAGGGGTGGATAGAATTCCAGGTGGGAAGAGGGATACAAATTCTTTGAAATTGGCCCCTGAAAGAAAAAAACTGTTTTCGCTTTATGGTATGTTCTATGTGAAAAGTCCAAAGATTTAGAGAGAAAGCCAGTTCGCGCCTTCACACGCTTACGAGAATAATACGCAGAAAGGAACACAGAACGTGTACATGCAAATTGAGCAATCATTTCCATTGCTTGGTAATTGCGAAATACTCTAATCAAGCGGAAGAGCTGGTTCGACGGCTTGATCCTCACCTCACCAAAAACGACGGTAATTTCAAATCATTTGAACGTATCAGATATATTGGTTCACCTAAACGAGGCGTCCAATTCCTACAAAGCGAAAAGGACAGAAATATCGCGCCATGCAATTTCCCAATAGTGTTGGTGCAGAATCAAGTCAAGCAGAAACGTTATCTGTCGGGAGCAGGAGACAAATAACTGTAATGTACATGCACACTGAAGATTACTCGGGTAGTAGGACTGAAAATGACAGGGACTGTTTGAGCGACGGCAACACAACGGCAGAAGCTGTAGTTGCGGTTGTCGAAGCCTTGGCGGCATCCGATAACGCCATTTCGTGATAGGAGAAGGCCTCGGATGACATGAGTAAACGTAGGAACGTAATGACGTGTTTGCAGTAAAAAAATCAGAGAATGACAACAAAACAGTTCGCTGTGAAATTCCCTTCAAGTGCGATGGATGGATCCCATGTTATTTTGGATGTATGGAGATTACTTTCACTATGTATCTATAATGTTTTCGTCATGAACGTAGGGAAATACTATAATTTCTTTTCTATAAATATTTCTATAGTGTTCGAAAGCATTTGACTCGATCAGGATAAAGTTAGTTTAGTAATGCTTTTGTGTATTCTAGGCGAGATGACTCAAAATAATACTTCGAAGGAATATCAATTACACAACACCTCTATTTAAATGTTTTTTTAACGATTTTCACGTACAAGAGGTTCAGTACAGGTGTTATATCAGAATAAGAATGACATTTTTGAAATTTTTGAAACAATTAAATAATAACTTGTATCATAATAAATAAACGAAAATGTCACAAAATTGCATTCCTAAGATCTGGTAATGACACAGAAAAGATACACGGAATAGAAACAATTAGATATTCAACTTCAGAAAAAGTGCTTTCTAAGACCCCGATATTTTAATGTTCACATTTACTCTCTAAACATGACATAATTACTTTCAAAAAATCAACTTTATCCCGAGATACACAGTTTTCAACAAAATTTTTAAAATTTATTTTGCTAGATATGGTGTTTCTAAATCTATAAATTTAATTATAGATATAGCGATTAATATTTTTCATTATAATTTCAGGCAAGTCAATGAATTGTTGATGTTAAAATAGAACGTATTCATCTTCTTGAAATAGGTATTAGAGAAAACTGTTAAATCCAGGTACATACATCACGACTTACAGTCAACCATTTCAGTCGATCAGCAACATAAATAAATTTATGTGACATTTGATTCGTATCGTTGTCTAGAAATAGGATCCCAAGGAAGTGATTGATTTACCCAGCGAGTCGATATTCCAATTGAGACACTTCTGCTATACATCAGCAATACATCGTGGTTGCGATTGATAAGTACTAGGAAATACTTGGAACAGCGCCAGATCATAAAGTAACGGCGTGCAGAGCTGATGATCACTTGGGGCACAAGGGCATTGTCAAGATGATATAGACATTGAGAAAAGAGAGACGAACATTTACGTACTTTCCATCGCAAACACATTAATCTTCCATAAATAGGGGTGCCCGGACGTGGTTGGCGCTAATTAGTAGTTATTAATTTTTTACGTAACTGCGGTATATTATTGACAAGTTTGATTGTATCAATGGAAACTACAGTTATTTGGCTACCTTAACGTGTTTTTATTCATGAATGTTTGACTGTCGAACTTAATAGAGTTGTGAAAAATCAGTCTAAGTCGTCGTGAAAAGATTGGCCACTCAACCTCACTTGTGGGGTTGGCACAGGCCTTGGGGTAAGTTGGCACTTACACGGTTAAGGTTGACACACTACTGCCGTGAGAATTAAAACCATGTCAAAATTAATCTTTTTCAATGCTTTATTTACCCAAATAAATATAAACAAGTTTATCAAAGTTGGGTCTTCCAGAACAGCCTCACTCTTTGTACTTTCAGAATTAAGTGTTTAAAAATCAGTAATTAAATTAATTAATATTCAAGACGGTTAAGTGCTTATTTTGTTAATACAATGGTAGGAATTTTGAATAAACGGGTTGAGCACTAATATAGAGTAAACATGTCGAACTAGTTTTGGAAATACCTAACCAATTGTTTTACATCGATTCATACACACGCATCTGACCGTTTATGCCGACTGATGGTTAGAATAGGTACGTTTTTTCATTTCTTTCATTGCAGTATGTAATGCAATATTCCATGTTCTCATTCTACGCACGCAACATTTCTCTCGCGATCAATAGCAACACGAACGCAAGGACACGCCAAGAAAGATCCCTATGAGAGCAATATCAACTGTTCCGGTAACTTGATGTAAAGCTAAATAAGAAAGAGCCACACATGATTGAAGGAGGCACAAAGAAATAAGAAGACGAGTTAAAATCAAAAGGATCGACTCCAGAAATAAATGAATCGCCCTAACAGAAAAGGCAAAACATTCTTTGGTACTGTTCTCTCTTAAGGGAATATAGTGCAAAGGCTTCATGATACCTCGCACTAATGAAGTCCATAATGAGTGTCTATTTCAAAATATACAGTCGAACGACGTTAATAGTCATTTTATTTCTACAACGAGACGATTCTTAGACGCGTGCAATGAAAGATATCGTGGATCGTTGAAGTTGCTTTTGAATTTTTGTGATCGTAAATGGAATAAAAAGAGATCAAATCTATTTTAGTGCATTTCATTGTGACTCGAAGCTTGGTAGGGTTATTTAGAAACAAACTACAAACTATAAAGATGTGTCAGTAGCCTCCTGCGAGATGAAATGCGTAGTAGAGTCCAAAATGAACATCTTGATAGGATTATCTATATGACTCATAATTGTAAATAATTATTACATGAAATATTTCTAAACTGTTAAGTTGCATTAACAGATACCATATAAAAGTTTCATATCGTTCCCAACGTATGTATTTTCGATGGCCTATTAGGTTAAATGTGACATAATTTTGTAGTAAATAATAGCGTTAAAAAGCACGTTTATTGAAGATGTATTAAATAATTAACTTTCTAATTCAACATATGTTTTTCATATTAGAAATTGTTTTCTGCCAAAGATAATTGAGTGTTTTGGTCCCAAACAATAAATTCTTAAGCGACAGATGAACAAAAAGTGTATGTAAAATTCCAGATAGAAACAGTGTACATACTAAGATACAACAGAAGGATGAAATACTTTGAACGGACTATTTTGGTTATGTGGGAATGTTAAAAAATCTTATCGGAACGTTTAGCTTCATAAATCCCGCTCTCTGTTTAAACAAAATCTTGTAATATTTACACTTTTCTTTCAAGTAAACGACATTATTGATCCTCCACTCTCCACTCAGATAAAACAAGAAACTGCAGTTCAATTGGGTGAAGTTTTTTATATTTATTGAAATAATTTTTATTATTGAACATTAATTTACAGTTATTAATAATATAACAAATACCAGCTTAAGCTGTGCGAACATTTTGTAAATCAAAAGTAAAAGTGTCTTTGTAATGGAGCCTTACGTGGAACGGCCGGCCCGATGGAACGAACTGCGCATTACGGGTTATACGTCCGGTACTGTGAGTAATCATCCTAAAATAGCTTAGCTTTGAGATTAAATTGCACAGAAAATCAAATACACTTCACTTTTTCGTATATTATTACTTCTACCTCCATTCCTTCAATTCACTCATAGATTTCGAGTTACTGCTGGCCATCCATGCTAAAGCGTAGGGATCCCTAGAAGAACTAAATCTCCACAAATAGATGTATGTAATAGAAAGTTCAAATTAATTTAATTTTGTAGAATCCTGCTTAAGAAATACAACTTCGACCCAACCTGTTCCTCTCGTGCTCCTAATGCCTCCACCTTCCCAATAAAAACATCACTTGGTTTTAACTGCTTAGGTTGCATCGTGTCCTGTTTATAAGCGATCGTAATGTGAGTTTGTAATGTATGTAATTTAATTTGCTCCCTACGTCAACATCTGAAATGATCTAATTATTCACCTTAAACCGTATTTTATATAGGACTGAGACGTAATTCTTTAAATAGTGAGAACTGATAACAGAGCATTTTAATGAAATTGTTCATCAAACTGAATTAAAAATAATTTTAATAAAATCACTTTACGAAAAATAATTAGAGATCATAATAGCTCTGCCCTAGTATGGAGATCGTTCATCTCGAGATCTTCCTGCTGTCTTTCTTTGCTTTCGTGACAGTTGCTGAAACTTCCACCCTTCCTCAATAAACGTATATTTTGAATCGTCCTTTTGATTATCAATGTCTTGTATAACTATATGATGTAATTCTGCTCGTACAAGAAAGGGCAAAACCTGCAGACTATGCGTGAAATGTAGTCAAAAGTGGAACGTGGCAACCAAACTACGTAGAAGCAGAACGTCAGTCAGTAGCGTTTGCGGCGAGTGCTATCTGAGTGCCGCTTTGCTCCCCTCAGTTTTCTCGGAGAATCTAATCGCGTCTTAACCACACACTACAGCGCGGCGGCGGCAATTCAGTGGCGTTGGTGGGGGTAGTGGCGGCGGTCGGGAGGCGGCAGTAACTGTACTTGCGGTGCAGTAGCGACGGGTGTGGTGACGATGATGAAGACGCAGTACGTGGCAGTCGCTGATGGCAGTTATTAAGTCGCAGGCGGTGGGACGATTGAACGCTGCGATAGTGGCAAGGTTGGAAAGCAGCAACTGAGAAATTCTTCTACGCAGCTATGCGCAGTGTCATATGCAGGTTTCATTGAACAAGGAAAGAATGCCTGAGCTTTTTGTATAGATGTCCAGAACACTGTGTTAATGCCTGTCAGTGTCGCCATTACGACTAACACCTCAACAAACATTTTTTTTTTTGGCAGTCGCCTTCCGCGCCTGACTCACGCACGACCCTGCCAGTAAACCTCCCGTTACATCTCTAGAAGACAATAGAGTGGTACTATTGGTTGTAGTAAATGTTGAGGTGGTAGTAGCGGTGGCGGATGTGGTAATATTGCTGATGATAGTGCGTGGTAAAAGCGGTAATGATTGAAAGAGTAGTGGCAGTAGTGGTTGATTGAATGATTGGTTGTTTTGTATTTCCAGTCGTGTCAAATGGTCATTGGTCCTGTAAGAATAATAATGTTTTATCCCGGGAGATTACGGTGTTCCTCCCCAATTGCAATGAGAAATCCGGTACCGACCTGAACGCCTAATTACGGCGGGTTTCCTCTTCCGTGTGTCTCTGCTAGAGCACCCCAAGCCAATATAAGCTCTCATCGACGTCTTTTGGCATGTGCAGTAGAGTAGTGCATTTGGCATGCACCCAAAAAGCTCACAGTCAGAGACGCTGCAGTGACGAGTGTTGTCCTGAGGCATATCAGACTGTGGAAGTCATTACAGTGGTAGTAGTAGTGTTGGTGTTAGTGATAGTAGTAGTGGTGGTGGTGATAGTGGTAGGGGTACTGATAGTGGCAGTAGTGGTGGTGGCAATTCTACCAGAGGTGGTGATAATTCTGTTGTGATAGGGTCAGAAAACCAATGATCATTGAAATTGCACTAGTGCTAGCGATGCTGGAGGTAGCTTATACGACATACACTGATTTACCACTAGTGGCACTTCAAGGTCACGAGTGGAAAGAGTGGGGGGACAGTCATCCAATCGGGAGTTCCAAAACCAAAACTTTGTATTGAAACCAAGCTCCCGATTGGATGGCCATGTTCCCATCTCATTCAAGCTCGTGACCTTGTAGTGACACTAAGTTTAAATCGGAGTACAGTGGTTTTGGCTGAAGCGTTGCGCGCCAGCGTCGATGACGTCGTCGGGCGGGCAGTCCGATAGCGGCGGAGGCGGCTGCGGCTGCGGCAACGGGGCGACAAGGCATCGCGTGCGGTCGGTTCCTTCGCGGGCGGAAGAGCGTGGAGGCCACGAGGAAGACGGAAGCGACAACCGCGGTAATGGCCGTTGCGTCATGCTGGTTAACGTATTCTCGCACACAAAAGCGACGAACAGCTCCTCAGAAATGTAGCGACTGCAAATGCACGGACGAGGGCTGTCATCAAGGCTTCAAACACACACCAACATTGTAAACGTTAATAACCGTTTCAATAATGCATCAGAAACCGTTATTTTTCATCAACTGTACTTTTGGAACCGTAATTGAATGAAGCAGGTTTTGTTTTGATTTTTGAAAGTTCGTAAGTTTGAAGCGTAATTTCGTGCAATGTATTGAATGCATGTTTCGAAAAGGTATGCATTGTGTAACATGTATTTAGAGATTGCAGCTTTCCCGTAAATAAAAGTTAACTGTTTTGTTACATAACGATGACCGTCGTGTCACAGAAAAAAAATTAAATAAATAAAATGTGTTCTGAAATCCTCTCGGGGCGGAGCGTGCGTTGGTATGACAGTGGCCATGACTTAACGCAAGAAAAGAGGTTAGCGTGGATTTGATAAGGCAGTGCTCCCCACGCCATGTGCTGTGAGACCTCCGTAGGTGTGCCGCCGTAATGCCAAGCGGGGATACACACGCCCAGCGGCCGACGATGTTATCTAAATTAATATTTATTGCACTATATACACTTGTTGGAACCATATATACAAAAAACAAAAATATTTATGATACAAGTGAATTTTAATAAAACATACAAACAAATTAAAAAGTTACATAGGTGTGTTAGACTTATTGCCAAAAGTGAAAAGACTTATTGCCAAAAGTGAAAATGTGTAAAGGTTTAATATTTACCTTTCGTTATGAGATAACTCTGCGAAACAAGATAATTAATATATTTTAATAACTTTTATAATGATGCTGCTTCTCATTCGTCATAACGTTTGTATTATATACGTTCGGCCACATTAAAACATCCACACTCGCTACCCTTAGATAAATGCCTTCCTTTAACGAAGACAGGGTTACAGTTCACATGCTTTCCTCGTAAACAAATAAAATCCATCGCTGTAAAAACATTAATTAGAAACGGTCTCCATATGTTTGTTTGGTATCTAACTCACGGCAATTTTAATCCCATACTCAAGTCTTTGTGTAAAGCATATTTTGTGGTGCCTCTCCTTTCACAATCTAAGGAAAGAACTTGATTTTTTTGTTGGTGTCAGTGTCTCAGAATTTTCCATCGGTCGTACAATGCAGATGTATGGAGGGCAAATGTCGACAGTGAGGCACAAAGTGAGCAAGTGGTAGAACAAGAGTTAGAGGAACAAATGTGTTCCTAAAATATGGTGGTCCTCCGAGTTCGGAATAAATTTCACATGGGATACAAAATTCACTATTGGGGAGAGGAGGATTGCACTTAAGTTGTCAATGAGACCCGACTTTCCTATTCACCCTGAAATTGGCATGGGGAATTGAACATTTTAGGTTTAAAAGGAGTGAATAATGAATGAAGATCAGAAGTAGGACACTAGGTGAAACGAAGGGTGTGGCACTATCGCATGGAAATCTACAGAAAACGCGTTTTGTCCATTAAAAATTCAACATGACCTGACAATCAACTATGCTCTGAAACCCACATGTAAGTGGTTAGTCTTGTGACGTTAATCGTGCTTTATCTGAAGACTTAACGCATTATAACTTGTCTTTGAATACGAAAGAACTGAGAAAAAATGAGAAATTTTAAAGGAAGATATTATTACATAATTTTATCTACATATTGTATAACTACAAACATTCCTTGATGGTACATAATTTAAAACTATTCGTTTGGTATTGCTTCCTAACAGGTTTTCGAAAAAACATCAACGTCTTACATATTTCATTCTACAACACGCGTCATGTTTATTCGTTGGTCGCCATCTATTTATCTCAGAGAAAAAGCTAGGAATAATCTCGAATTGTTTTTGAGAAACTTGTTTGTTCAGATCTGAAAACATTTAATCATTATTAAGTTAAATATTGATTTTCAATTATTTTCAAAATACATACTACATTTATAGGCTTGAGCATACGGTCGACGAACACAATTATAATCCAGCTGGATGGCCGTCAGGCTGCAACAATATTTTCGGCTGTGTTCGCGCGCGCATTTCGCGTAATCAAGCTGCCGAGCTCCATCGCGTAGCGCTTCGCTCGCTGTGCATTGAGGTGCTAAGTGTAGGTGCGCAGTAGAACTCGTTAGAACTCTGCTCCTGCCTTCTCTGCCTCTACCACAGCCACTGACGTCGCCTCCGAACCAGACCTCGCTCGGTCCACCTCCTCACCTGCTCCGCCCCCGCTTCTCCCTACTCCAACCCCGCCACGCCCCCCATTCCGATCGCCTCTGCTGCACCTTCGTCCCGCCCCCCCGCTTCAGCCCTCACCCCCGCTCCGCCCCGCCCTCGCTCCGCCCCGCCCCCGCTCCGCACCGCCCCCGCTCCGAACCGCCCCCGCTCCGCCGACCGCCCTCGCTCCGCCGCCCGCCCGCCCCCCGCTCCGCACCGCCCTCGCTCCGCACCGCCCTCGCTCCGACCGCCCCGCCGTTCCCCCGCACCGCCCCTGCTCCGCACCGCCCCGCTTGGCACCGCCCCCGCTTCGCTCTTCCCTCGCTCCGCGCCACCCACGCTCCACCTCGCTCCTCGCCGAATTCGCCCTCGCCAACATCACCACCATCGCCGCCGTCACCGCTTCACCGCAGCCGCCGGCGCCACCTCCGCTCAACCGCCCTCCGCGTTCACGAGCAGCTTTGTCTGGTAATGAGGTTATTTTTAGCCAGCACGTTCAAAGCCAGTGCGCAAGACCCCGGTGATGGCACGCGCCGCTGCCGTCGCTGTGTCACCGCCTACTCCGCTCCTGCCAACCAGTCATCGTTGTCATTGGCCACGACATTGCCATTGGCAATGACGCCCTCGTAGCGTTCACCTTCGCTTCCGCCTCTATGCAAATTCGCTTTCGTTTTTCACCCACGCGTCCACAATGTCACTTTTCATGACGCTGTCATGTCCGCCATTTCTATTTTCACACCATCACCACAGCAGACACATTAACTTCTGCCATCGTCATTGTCCTTACCAGAGCTACCACAACATTCATTAGTGCCTTCATCACAAATGTCAATAATACTTTATATCATAATTACATTTCAAATTTGTATCATCTCTATCTCGACAGCGTCATTGATAATGTCCGTATATACTTCGTCTCCAGTGAGTTAAAAGAAGGGGTACTGTTATCCCATTTGGGGCTTCAATTGTTGGAAATTGACGTTTAATATAGGATTGCGTTGTTCCTGTCCTTCGGCCTGTTGAGCAAAGTTTCTCTAGTGATTTTCACACGTCTACGAAACCCCTGCTTCCAATGCCATCTCACTTACCGTTTTGTGATTCCTACATTTCTACTAACAGATCTGCCATCACTTTGACTTTATTCGCTTGACTTTATTCGCTTGACTTTATTCGCTGACTTTATTCGCTTGACTTTATTTCGCTTGACTTTATTCGCTTGACTTTATTCGCTTGACTTTATTCGCTTGACTTTTATTCGCTTGACTTTATTCACTTGACTTTATTCACTTGACTTTATTCACTACTTTATTCACTTGAATTCGTTTATTTTATTTAATACTCACCTCAGTTCTCTATCACTATTGGTTACACAACCTTTGCAATTCTCTACACTTCCACGTCGTCAAACTCACCGTCACCATCACACTGTCCTCACACCATTGCCATCACCGTCGCCGCCACACGCTCTCTGCTGTGGCCCTGTGAACACGCTGCTCCGCGCGGCGCTCCCTTAAGAGTTCTCCAGACTCCGCGTGCGCGCTTGCGAAACGAGGCTCTCGTGGGTCGGAGTACTTCATCAAAGGGAGTCTCAGTGTCAGGTGGTTGTCTAATTTAGTCAGCCTGGCTTCTGAGGGATGTTGACTGCGCAACGGTAGCAGTCTCCGAGTTGTAACTTATATCTCTACGAGTTGCTCTAATGATTGAAATCAAGAACACACCCTCGACTTACGTTTAGAAACATAATTCAATCAATTGTCAGTCGTAGGAACTGATACATTATTTAGAGATTCTTTGATGTCAAGTTAAAGTGGAGGCGTTAGTAAAATGTAATTCTTCCTAACAAACTTTCTGTTTTTGTTGTCTAACCCCCGGACAGTGAATTCGTATTTATTGACCCATGTTCAACATGCACTATAAAATGTTCGAATTTTTTATCCAGATTAAATCCAACAAACGCAAGTAATTCTCTATCAACATATCGTAGTTAATAGACCGTCACAACTACTGTCTTCAATATGTACCTTTATTAGTTGCGTTTTTCCCTATTTCGGATAATTTAATGTCAGAAATCTGATTAGGTCACGAATTATCGACGAATTCTGATCTGATTAGGTCACAGATTTTTGGCGGCCATGTAACCTTTTTCCTTTACTTGCCACAGGAGCTCCATTGCGTATTGAGATTTTTTGTACTTTGAAACTTCGCGACTCCCATTCGTTTTCAGGGCCACGCACTTTACTTTTTTGCTGCGGTAAGTGGAAGTAGGTGTTGTGTATTTAAGTTATGTTACATTGACACTGAAAATATCCCTCGAATGAAAATTATTCCATTCTCGTGATAGAACGTATTTCATGTGTCAGTCGTCCAAATTAACTTTCGGCATTTCTATGTTTTAACCACCCTATCCTACGTGAATATAATGAACCGTAGCAAAATGTACAAATATAGCGAAAGATACATGACACATAGCGAAAGCCTGAATAACTTCCTAGTGAAGCGTTTTAAAATCGAAAGACGGAACTAATTTCGATAAAATATTTGCCAATTCATCCACGCCACTCGATGGGCGAGCGTGAGCGTCACCGATCTAACTGCGAACGCGTTGACGTGCGCCGGAGACTGATTGGCGCGTCCGCCCGACGACAGGAGCGAGCGGTCGCAAACGCAGTTCATTAGGTGGCGGCACACGCGGGCCAATGAAGCGCGGAGTAACGAACGCCCGGCGCCGCCTAATGGGCGGATATGCGTAGCTCGCCACGCGCGCGCGCGCCCGCTCGCTCGCACTCACCGAGAACTCTCGCGGCGGAAACGGTAACGCGGTCCACATGACGAGGTCATATGGGTTCGTACGCTTCCGCGCCCGGAGTCAATGCAATCTTGGCTATCCGGGATGAGCCGCGTCTCGGTCAATTGTACTGACGTTTCGGCCATCTTGCTGTGGCCTTCTTCAGAGCTGTGGGCTTCTTCAGCAGTATAGCTCTGCAGTATTCGCCGACTGCGAAATACGAGGGTCGCAGTCCGACAGTGGCGGGCATTCGACTCTAGCTGGATCGAAGTTAACCTCTGGAGGAAAAATTTCAGCGGTTGGCTGCTCTTATCGGTAGTTTTCCGTGCTTTCTTCCATCAATACCAGGCGAATGTAAGAGACAAATGTCAGAGGCGAATGTCGGAGGCTCTTCAGTTATCCATCGTATCTCCTTGCTTACACAACCACATTTGTAAGGAGACCAGTCGGCAACTTAAAGCTCGTTCCGTTTGGGCGGTGCCCCATTGGCAGCTATACTGAAAGTCGAATGCTCTCCGCCCGCCAAAAGCGGGGGAGAAACACCCCCAAAAGGGTACTTACTCACGCACAAGGAGGCTCAAATTAGGGCTCGTAGCGCAATTGTTATGGAATTTGTGGTCAACAAAGGGAGCTCTCGGCAGGTTTCATCCGTTTTCCCAGCCTCTCGATCCATTATTTTCCTGTCATCATTCACATCATATTTTCATTTTTTTTATTGATAGAAACGTCAGACAGATGCCAGCCAATGAGAATAAACATACTTTTTACCTTACTTCAATATCCCTGGTGGATCGATATGCGAATCTCGCCGTCCGTCTACACACCAGCGCTGCCAAAATAAGTTCAGTGAAGGCAATGCCAGACAGTCTTTAGAGGGTTAGTTCCGAGCGACTGTAAATCGAATATCGAGTAAGGCAGTTGAGCGTCCATCTCCGACGCTCACCCTTTCCACAAACCATGCCGGTCTACAGTGACACATCAAAGGAAGAAGTTATTTGCCGGGCGAGCTTTGAAGATTCATGACAAAAAAGTGCACTTCTCCGTCTCAAGGTGCTCACGATCTAGCGACTACACGTCGTGTGGCGAATTACAGCGTGTTTGGCGAATTCTACATATCTATTCTATTCTATTCTATTCTAAAACTATTCTATTTGAAATTGATTTCATTAATTTCAAGTAAAAATGTATTTATTTATTAGTGGTTTCGAGTATTAAATAAATAAATTATTCTGGCATCAGTTTGAAATTTATTTTGAATAGAATTATCGATAAATCTCGGGTATGTAACTTAAGGCAAGGTTTTGTAGCAATGGCTTTTCTGATCTTTCAATTGTAAAGATCTAATGTTAAAATTCTATCATTTTAGAAAATAATGAAAATATTTTCAAAGGATTTTCAATATTCTTTTTATAGAAGTATCTTCCTTGTTTATATAGAAGTATCTCCTTCATAAATGTATAGTTCTACATATTGTGATTAATACTGTTTGGCAGCTAAACTATTTGTCAGAACCTAGATGCAGATCACAATATTCTCGTTTCGACTAATTTGGCGTGAAGATAGAAATATAGTTTTGCGGCTAAATTCAAACTATAACCGAAAGCAATATTTGCTACACGGTTTGTGTTCTTTGCTTGCAAGCAGTTTAACGATTGGGGAACAAAATAAGGGGTCATTAGAACCAAGAACCACACCACCACGACTTTGCTTTTACCATCGTTGACAGAGACAAATTGTAAACTTCAAGGTAGCGTAAGACGGCGACAATTCTTTG